TTATCTTACGAGCACAGGAGGTATCGATCCCCAAAACAATGTTCTCCATCCTGGAAATCGAATAGAAAGATTTCAGTATATGAACTGCATTTGGATTTAAAGATAGATATATAGCTTACCATTAACATTAAACAGCAAGAAGATCACAAATGATGCCCAAAGAACTGGACTGTAGATCCAAACAAGTGTTAGATAAGCCCGGATAAAGAAGCAAAACTTCATTCGCATTTGAAGATTAGATTGTGTTGTACCTTATTCCAACTATCAACTTGAAATCATCCTCGAGAGATCTTTTGATATATCTCTGGAAGTTGAACTTTCTTCCTGGGGCTAGATGAGCCTGAATCAGATCACAAGAATCACACATCAAGATTGCGAAAGAAGAAGATGCAAAAATGGAATGAATTTAAACTCACAGAGATGAATCCATGGCGCAGAGTCAAGTAGTCGGTTCTTCCTACCGATACAAAGAACTGTCTTAAGAAGCAACCCTGTAAACAAAATGTATTTTGAGAGCTCAAAAAAATCAAAATCAAGAACGTTTGTTGCAATTTGGAAGAGAAAAAAGAAATGGTTTCTTTACGACGTAAAAGAAGAAAGGAATTGTTGTCCAAAAACTTGTATGTGATCTCACAAAAGAAGTCTCATGAGTGAGCCTAAGTCTTGATTGATCTGCACCACACAAAAAATAAAAGACATTAATAGAATAAAACTTGAGGGCTTCAAAACAGAGTCATTACCGATAGAAAACTCGTAATCATGAGATAATGTCTCTTGCTCCCATTTGTTCCATCCACGAATCTGCCACAAATCCAACACAAAATCACTCACATCGAACACGGTTTTGATCAAAACTTTGATTGATCGTACCTTGAGCCTGCTAAGCATCATGGTGATTAGACTATAGAGGACATGAAACACGGCCAAAAAGAACAACAAGATGTGAAGTTGGTGCAATCCTTTCAATGTTATGAGTGGCTCAGATCCATTTTTGCAATTCACAGTTATATCACCAGCCGCTAAAAGATGTCTACTACGAGATGGAGCGAGAGTAGTCTCTGTGTTTTGAAATGGACAAGGTAACATAGAGAGTGCAGCTTTTGAAGGAACACAGATCTTGAGAATGTATGTTTCTCCAAACGTGAGTAACAAGGAAATGAATCCAAGAATCATCAGCTCTGCAGAATCAATCACCATTTTGTTTCCTTTTTAGTTTCTTGAAAGAAATAAAAACAAACAATCTTAATCATTACTTACCAGCTTTGATCTTCTCTAACGCTTCAAGGAGAGAGTTCTTATGCTTCTTCCAAAGCCACTGAGAAAAGAAACAATTAAAGATGTTTAATTCAGACATTGAGTGTTTGAACAAGAACGCAGTTGTAAGAAGAAGAAGGATTAATTCAGACGTTGGCGAGTCTTTGAAGACCCTTTTCGAGGAGATGGGAAACGAGGATGAGGAAGGTGCAGACGACGGCGACGGCCCAAGTGGGTGTCTGAGAGAGTGTTTTCTCCCCAGAGGGAGCTCCAGTGGCCGTAGCTCCGCCGTGGAACACAAGAAACCATAAGAAAGATCTCTGATACTTGCTTCTTGTGATCATGAGTGAAGAGAGAGAGGTAGAGAGAAGGGAAGATACAACTAACGTAGAGTTTAAAACTTAGGTTAGTGATTCTTAATTACAATGGTGTACAATGTAAGTTACATTGGTATTTAGATTACGAATTGGTTTTCATTTGACTATATTAATTGTGGAACATAGATAACGAATTGGTTTTCATTTGACTATATTAATTGTGGAACACGTATCTTTTCTAATTTTGTTCACTAGATTTTAAGCAGAATAAATAATTAGGTTGACTAATGGATTTTAATATAGAGAAATTTCAAAAAATGCCACTTTTCAAGTGCCACTTTACAAAAATGCCACTTTTATACAATCTTTGCAAAAATGTCACTTTTTCAAAATTATTTATGCATTATATCATTTATATTTGGGTTAACTATGTTGTATTATGATTTAGTTTTGAGGGTTTAAGGAGTTTTAGGGGTCAAAATATTTTTTAAGGTTTAGAATTTTAAGATTTAGTCTCTAAAAAATCATAATTAGTGGTATTTTTGCAAATATGGACACAAAAAGTGGTATTTTTGTAAATGTATATTTTTAATATTTAAATGTGTATGACAAATTATATGATTTTTAATATCTACAAACGTACAAAAAAATATGTATTATACATAAATATAATAAAATTGAATACTTATTATCAAGCATATGTTAATGCCATTAGTGTTGATAATTTTATGTGGAAAAAATGGTCAAAACATATAAAAATTTTATTTTTTCAATATCTTTAAGTGTAAATATCTCATTATATCTTAATTAAACTTTATATTTTTTGTTAAGCTTTATAAAAATGATCAAAACATTAAGCCTTTGCATTTTTGTTTGCTTAAATTTATTTGGTGTTTTGCTTATATTTTACTTGTGTTTCGCTTGGAAAACAAATTATTCAAATTTTCTTTAAATTAGAAAAAAAAATGTTAAAATTGAAGTAGAAAAATACATGATCTATATGCTTTGTCACTAAACAAAAATACTTGATTCTAAAATACATGATCTATATGTTTGTCACTAAACAAAAAATGTTAAAATTGAAGTAGAAAAATACATGATCTATTTGCTTAGATGATTTATCATGATCAATTAATTTTTTGTTTACATTATATATATGTCATGAAAAAATTTATCAATCATTTTCTAATCTATATTTATAGTATGATTACTTCTCATTTTCTATTCTCATTTATCTTCGTCTCGTAAATTTATATATATTTTTATTATGGTTCATCGTAGAGAAATATTTGAGATTTTATGATATTATATTTTAAATGTTGGTTTTTCAAATAATTTGAAAAATAAAAGAGTTAAGATAATGTTTTAAGTTAAATGTGTGGTTAAACAAAATGAAGTTAATTGAATGTAAGATTTTATTTTTATTGAGGTACAAATCTTTTAATAAAAAATAGACATTTCATATTTCATGAAATATATAGATCTTAGAAATAATATAAATATTTTTTTCTTCAAATACTTTAGAACTATGGTTAAGTTACATGATTTTTACTAATTGTTTTAACTACAAATCATAAGCACATTTTTAGGTTTTAAATATATGTGATATTTATGTTTTTGTAGTCTTAAATTTTTTTATTTTTTTATTTTATTTATTTACTTAATGTTTCACGTTTTTGTTTTAATTTTTTTATTAGTT